AGGTTTTGGAAAAAACCGATAATTATTTTAAACTTCACCTGAATTTTTATAATTTATATATTCCACATATACCTGATTAATAGTCACTTAATTCAAATTTAGAAATTAAATATAAAACAAAACAATTTTTGTTTTCAAGAATAGTATTTTAAGAAATAAAATTTAAATATCAATTTCATTGCATTTTAAACAAATTATTTAAAATAAAATTCTCTAAAACGCTGGCAAAAGCGTCATTACTTAATTTTTCACTCTGACAACAGCACCGTTACTTAATTTTCAAACATATTTTCCTAAGTACTGCGATATTTCTTGGGAATAAAAAGACGTTTTTTCTTGCACCCGCAACCAATCCAAAGTTACGCATCACATGAAAAGTACGTCAAGAGATTTCTCAAATGAACCGACTGGTTACAAAGGGAAAGAAAGAATCCAGGTATAAGCAATGTTATAGATTCGTAAGTGTGACAGTTACAGTGAGAAGATCAAGAATCGCAAAGCTGTTCTCTGAGGAGAATAGGTCTGTGAAAAAAGGTCTAAATGCGTAGTTCTTTGGTAGAACTATAATCGAAGCATTAGAAGTAATTTACTTTGTGAAAGTTTACAGAGTTATCGCGGAAATTTGAAAGAATTATTTGCACATACATGTCTTTATGCAGTCCAGAGTTTCTCAAAAACCAAGGAATATCTGTGAAGGAGCGAAGTATCTTGTTTTGACAAGTTTAGTTTTTTAATATGTTTAGCTGAAGTAACGCACTAAGCTGAAGATACGTCGAAAGAATGGGTCGAATCAGTGAAAAACAAGTTTTCCGTCTCACGTCCAGTGGAAAAGTTTTGCCTAGGAGTAGTTTCAGCCGTATGATGATACCTACTTATTTTGCCAATAGTCAGCTTTGATGTGTTGAATCCATATGAGGATGTAGCTGAACTTTACACCTAGATAGGACTTTGGGAGTTGTTTTCACCAAAAGAGGTAAGGACTCGGCTGGCATGTTTCTTTTTGTTAACGCAGTAGTGGAAACGGGCCTTTACGCTTGATGAGAAGGAGTTTTGATTTACAGGCATTGAAATTGACGCGCAACTTAATGCATTTCAGTGATTTCACGTTTCTCTTACATCCTCCTCATAGCAGGTAACCAGACAGTTATTGTGTCTTTGAATGCTAGAACATTGGGCATGCAATAAATAGATAATGGATCCGAGTACCATACCTTGCCAGACCCCTACCTGAATGGTAATAGTTTTTAGGAGACATCTCCCATACCTGAGAAAATCGTATTTCTGAGGAAAACGATTAGGAGAAGGATGACTTCAAACTTAAGACCTATCTGAATGAGCTTCTCATACCAGACGTTGTCCATTGCTGAAAGGTCTAATACATGCGTTTACTTTTTGGGTAAGATAAGGCTTTGCTGCGGTATTTAAAATTTTAAATATCTGTTTCATAAAGTATAAAATGATATACATAAAATTAAATTATAGTTTTGAAAAGGATATAATGTGATTCCCGCAATAGTGAACTGATATAATTAAATATTGATATTCTGATTTAGATGTTTCGTAACTATCTCTTGAGTATGAAAAGTTAACTTTATTATATAATACATTCACATCTATGTTTGTGTGAAGATTGAAGATCATTTTAAGACTCTTTTCCTAATTAGGAATAGCTTCATTTTTTTTCAAAAATTCTTCTCCATTTGCGCAAAATTTTTATATAGAAATGATGACGAAAAAAATATAAAATAAATAACACAGCAATAACGAGGAAAAAATAACTAAAGACAAATATTTTTTACATTACTTAATGTAAAAATTAATTTTATTGTAGAATGTATAACAGATATTTCAAAATTTACTATGATTCAGACTAAATGATGAGGAATTTCTTTTATAAGAACTGGAAATTTGTAAGTTAAATATTATAACTTTTATCCTTATAAAAATTACAGTTGTAAATACTTTCAGTTCTTTCTAATTTTAATGGAACACTTTGCATCTCAAAAGAAAAGAACAATATCTTTCTATGTATACAATACGGTATTATGAAACTGATTAAGTAATGAATAAAGTATTCAAAAACATCCGAAATAATGCAAAATGAATATTTCTCAATCTTAATAAAATTATTGAAAAATTACCTGCTTTAATCCTTAATTTTAAGCAGAAAATCTAATTAATAAATACATTAAACATTCGCACAGTTTAAAAAATGAAATTCAAAAATCCGCCGTATTGAAATCTAAATTGTAATATTTTTTCAGTTTAATAATTTTCAATTTAAATTTTTTTTAATTTGAAAGCATACAAACTTCCCGTGCGCCACAGATGTACAACTCGGGGCTTACAGAAGTAATTTAACTAAAGCGTTAAAAGTTGCTTGCATAAATAAAACAAACAAAAGCAGAGAACAGCAGTCTGAATTTCACAAAAACAGATAAGTTCACTTGCCAAGTCACTCCGAACATTTTCAAATCGTTCTGCAAGCATAATCTAGGGCCATCAAATATAGGGCATGAGAAAATCAAATGTTTCACAACCTGAGGTACTCTTTTTAAACATTCACATAAATTGTTTGATCTTAGATTAAAACGAAACAGGTAACTTGCAAATTTACGGTGACCAGATAAAAACTGAGAAACTTTAAAATTAATAGAGAGGAAAAACTCGGAATGCAGTCTATGGTAAAACAGAAGGAAACAACTTTTTGGTGGCCTCAGCATTACAAGATGAAATATATTCCTCATTCCCCTTAGCTAAAAGCTTCTTATAATGAAAGGATTTCCAATAGCTCTTTGGAATGCTAATGTTGATATCAATAGGTAAATTTAAGGCATCTTTAGGTAAGAATTCAGCTCTTTCATTTCCATAGAAATTGTGATGAGCACGTACATAAGCAAAGCAGATATCAATTCCTCTACTTCTAAACGAACTGACTGTTAATAGGGTTTCGATAACTAATTTGTCGCAGCTGGTAATACTGTTCAAAAGGTGAAGAGAAGAAAGAGAGTCAAAACAAATAAGATACCTTGAGGATGCTGTCCCATTATCCTTGATCCATCTGACGGCAAGGTAAATACACATATGTTCTGCTTGAAAAACTGTGCATTCATTCCGTATACGGTGTCTAAAATGACAAGCATCGGAATGGCCTTCAAAATGAACAAATGCAAGGCCAACCTTGTTGTTCATCGTGCTGCCATCTGTAAAGAAAACCATATGAAAACTCATTTCAGCAGTCTCTTCGCAGAAATTTATGGGCTCTAAAGTAGCTGGATGAGGAAGATCAGGGAAGGGGACAATTCCATTTATGCAGTCTTCCAAAGTATCAGTTGTCCGAAATGACCCGAAAAAATGATGATGCGCATACTTTGTGGAGGATTACGTTATTCAAAATTGGATGGCTCTAGGTACCGTTGATTTATCACAATGCCAGAAACATAAATAAATTTATGCAGATTTTTCATTATTTAATTTCTTTAAATATAATACAGGGCTGTAATATTTGGTGGCAACAGTTTGAAAAGTGAATCAACGCAAAATCCCAAAACGAAATCAATAGCCCTTTGGGCTAATAATATTTTATTACCTTTGAAGGCATAACTTTTAATATTATAAATATAGCATTTAGCTTTTAAGTCTCAATTTAGATAAAAATTTATATTTAAAATTTTATTAATAAATTAAGACATTAAAGCTATCCAAAGTCGAAATGGTAAGTTTAAACTATGATAAACGAAATATGTATTCAGTGATGGCTGCTGTAATAATAAACTTGCGTTTAAACTATTTCGACTTAATTCTAAAATCCCATTTCCAGTTTGTTTCTAATTATAATTTTAATAAAGTCTTATTTTTGATTTACTAATAAACCTTAATTGTTCCAAAACGGTAATCTTAATCAAGTTTGACTGTAAAGTTTAAATAAAATTTAAACTTAGCAGACTCGCTATAATAGTTAAATTAAAAGAATCCCAAGAAATGTAGCGATGAATTCAAATAAATCTCTAACGAATAAATGAATGTATTAGATGTAGTTCAAATCATAAAGTTATTTTAAAGTCATTTTTTATATCAAGAACGTTTTGCTTTCGGAATTCTTATAGGCTTTTTTTAAAAGGATAACCACAGAATATTGAAACCAATTTCAAAGAATAAAAGTGCTAATTTTCAAATAAGACAAATTAAAAATGAATATGTTCATGATTTTAATAAATAATCAATTATTTCACAAATTAAGAACAGCGATCAACCGAATAAATATTTGCGCTTAGAATTTTTGTCGAAAATATGTATGAAACGGCAAATATTTCTATGTGTTTACTCCTTATGTTTCACTTTAAAAGAAATCTTGTAATAATTAGGTTCTTAGACTGCTTTATGTACGACTAATGAGTATAGTAGTAAAGTTTTTCATTTTAAGCTGCTCATAACTTAAGTAAAGTCGTCCTTTATTCTACTGCATTTAATTTAATTTCAGACAATGAGTATTGCTCATATTTTGTTCGGATATTGTTTTATTTAATTATCTTCTAAATTTATTGAATTTCTTAGTCTCCTTTTAATTGCGCACATGAAATCTTTCATAGGGAATCAATTTATAAATTTATTAATGCTAATTTTTAATAGAACAGCGTTTCTTAGGTAAACATGTTTCTCTGACAGTAGCCCCCTACATAATCGGTTCGACGTAGACCCGTCGCACGTGTCGCTTCAGGACAAAATTTTCCCGCTTTCCTATTTCCCGACCATACCTGGCCCCCTTCCTTAAAAACAGAGTGAATGTTTTGAAAAAAAAAAAAAAGAAAGAAAGATATAAGGAAAAAAGAAAGAAAATAGAATTTTTTGAGACATTTTGCGCGATTAAAAATTATAGTAGTTTTTTTTGGAAAGCCATTTTTTGTCTTTTTTGATTGGCTGGACTGCAGCCAAAGAAACAATGCAATAGTGACTCACTTTTTGCTTTTTTGTTTTTTTCTTCGACTTTTTCGACGCCGTAGTCAAGCCGACAGGGCTGGAAGCGGAGTTCTAACTTCAAAGAGAAGATAGAGTAATTATATCAAGAACTTGATTTTGATTCTTTTAATTTTTTTTTTTTTTGCCTTTTGCCTTTTTAAAAGTACTAATTCGCCACTCTTTTTTGCATCCAAGCCTTTCGTTATCCGCCTCGTCAAACGCTCATACCCCACTTTCAACAATTGCTTGCTGTTTTATTGCATGGCATCCCAAATGTTGTGAGTCTTTGCCCAAACTGTGGTTCGCGAACCACTAACTTAACAGTAAAACTCCAGATATCTTGATACATTTTGAGAGAACTCTTTGGGTACATTTAATTTTAATTTGAATGCTAAATTCTTGTAACATAGATGGCAACAGGAAATTTATGTATGGTGATCACCGAGGTATTAGAATTTTGAGTCCACATTCTAATACCTAAATATTTTAACAACTTAACTGTTTTGTCGAATATGTCATTAGGTATGTAAAATATCGATATATTAACATTTCAAACCGACAGGCTTGAAATTAAATTAATTTTTACAAATTTAAATTTCAAAATTACAAAATTGTTTCAAAATTATAAAATTGTTACAAATTAAATTTTTGTTTCCCTTTCATACATACTGAAATCAGTTAGTTCTATATGATATTTAAATTTGGTGATCACGCTGTATTCAGTAAGCAAAACCGTAATCAATAAATAAATTACAGCTTTTTTATTAGAGTAAATTATAACTTCTCTCTTAATTTAATAAGAAAACGTTATTTGATTAATAATTTATTTACATCCTGTGTGCAGTCTGTATTGGTCAACAGTGTGTAAGATTCTCTTGTAAAAATATTTATCCAAAGATATGATATAAAACTTGTGAAAACACTTTGCAACATAACTGATTAATATAAATATGAAATGTGTTTAAACTCTGTGTGAGTTCAAAGTATGCAATCCATTTGCTGGCGAAGTGGAAAATTAATGGTAGATAAAATCTATTAAATACAATTTCCCAGTAATGTGCAAATTTATTTTTTTCTGAGAGAACAATATTTGACTTGATCGATTGCATGTTGCTTTTACTAACAAATTGACACCTAAATTAATCACTGGATCAAGAAATGTCCTTCACAACGTTGATTAAAAAAAATAAAAACGATTTATCATAAATATTTCATAAAGAATTTTGTTCAATTTATAAACAAAATATTTTCCTTTCTTTATATTTTTAAAAAAGTAAGTAAAAATATCCTGCGATACGTGATTCAGTTGGAACATAGATACCAAAATTAAACAACAATTTATAGATCAATTAGATTTTATTAAAAATAAACAATGAGTTTCTGTGACCATTACTCAGGGTACTTCGTTTAAAACTGCCTTGTGATTTCTTTTGCTAAAACCTTTATAACTAACAGTTTGAGCTCTCTCTATACTTCCGAAAATATGACAGTTGTCATTATTTAAAATTCTGTTATCGTATTTCACATGATGACTTAATTTAATTAAATCTGTTTTTGAGAGACATCGATAAAAATTTATCATAATAATGATAATAATAACAATCACGGTAACTGTAATAAGATAACTAGAGAAGAATATATAGCATTTTTTTCCTGTTGTAATGAAGGATTAAAGAACACAAAAAACTACTTAGTGAAATGAAATCCCTGGAAGTCTTTGATGTAATTCGAGACGTAATAAATTCTTTAAACCCAAATATATCACCTAGAACAAAAAACTATAAATACAACAAAATAATACAACTTTCTTTAGTAAATTTCGATATTCAAAAGTATAAATACATGAATAAATTTAAAAGCATATTTCATTTAAAAAATGCTTTTGGGGAAATATATTTATTTGACATATTAAAAAATCTTTGTTTAGGCTTAAATTTAATATATTTCATGAAACATTAAGCTGATATCATTCCCTAATTTCCTTAATTGTTTCAAACCGGATTTTCTCAAGTAATAATGTCCTACATGATTTTGTGTTAAAAGTCTCTGCGTTTATTTTATTCACCTAAAAAATGAATATATTAGTATTCATTGTACCTGTAAACTTTTATGTAGTCTATTTCTTCTTTTAACTTGAAACTTTTACTTACGATTAAAGAATAAATTACTATTATCTTTTCTTGATAATTAGGTTATTTTTTCAACACATCATATTGCATGTTAATATTTAAAGGAGTTTAAATATTTAATTAAGTTAAATATTTAAAGTTTTCAGATCATTGTTTTGAGCACTGCTGTAGTAAACAACAAACTAATAATAAATTATTTGTCCCTACATTGCATTATTACTCTAGTTTTGATCTTATGTATTCGCGAACAATTTACAGCAGATGCTCGTCAGAAACAAAAATATAATTAGCTGCTTCGCCTTTGAAAAATGTATGATGTTTTCACAGAACTTTCCATCCTTTTCCTTTGCATTCTTAGGAATGTAGATAATTGTAACTTTGCGGGATTTTTTTTTCAAAACAAATATAAATAAATAAATAAATCTAAAAAATATCTTGAATAATTTAAATAATTTAATTTATTCTATAATATTTTGCATCATAGATACGTACTCTAACATCTTTAATTCATTTTGCATTGTTAAGATTTATAATCGATATTCTTGATTCAGTTATTAATTTGAGCCATATTACTCAATAAACCTATAACTAACACTGCATTAAATCTAAATCATATCATAAATTAATGTAATAATCCAAGGTTTCAAGCTAAATCAACAACTGATACTAATCAGCTGATAGCTAAATCAACAACTGATAGCTAAATCAACAAAATTTCCAACCTCGTATATGGCAGTAATTTTAATTAAGTTGCTGGATGAGTCAGATAATAAGAAATCCATGTGTATATAAAATTCTTTCTGATGCCATTTTATTTTTGTTTCACTCTATTCTAAGTTCTTTTTAAAGAAGATTGACAGAACTATCACTTTACAATAACATCATTTTTATTGCCTTTTAAATAAAATTATTTTCTGAGGAATTATATGAAAATTACATATACATGAACAAATTTAAGCAATAACAGAATGTGTTATAATTAAAGAAAGAAATATATACATAACTGTGTGAAATATTTTGCCATAGTAAACACTTTTTCTTGTATTATTATGTAAGAATTACTACTGAAAATGCAATATGCGTAAAATTTACCTTTTTTTTAATTGTTGTTGTTGTTTTTCCTGTTGCCATATTGACGAAATATTCCGCAAGTAAAATTACACGCTTTTGTAATGCTATTCGCCGATCACTGTTGGGCAAAGCCTTGATCGCAAAATGCACTGGTAAAAGACTTTTTATGCAAGCATGTTTCTTTCTTTTTTCTTCACGCGGCTTTTTATCTTGCACCTTATGTTTCGCGCTGCACAAGCTTGGGCTTGCGGTGGTTACTTTGACATATCTAATTATCATGACTTATATCCACTTAATGATGGATTAGTTAATTGTTCCATAAACGTTTACGAGACTAATCATACTGTTTTAATAGTTATTTCAAAATCTTTATGCCTAATATAAGCATCGAGATTATTTTTTCCTTCAGATCATCCTCTCATTACAGGTAACGATTAGACCCAGAAATACAGATATTTATTGAAGATTTTCATGACAAAGTTATGTTCTAGTTGCAAATTAAAGGGCGTTTATTTTTCATAAAAATTTTTCGATTAGAAAATACTACAAACGACAATTCTTAAGAAATGTCTTCTTAGCTTTTAAAATATGTATACAAATTTTTAAACAACTTATGGTACTGTCTGTTCACGAGATGTTTCTGATTTGCATCATTTCAAAAGCCTTTAGAGTTACTAATCTCCTATTACTTACTGTTATTTCGCTGTGCATTGATGTAACAGTTTAATCTCTGCTATATAATTTCAAACTTGTTTTACAAAGCATATAAAAATGTATTTTTTAAGAAAGAAAACAAAATGTGTACTTTGGTTTCGAAACAAACTAAAAAATGCATAATCTAGTTGGATTAATTCGTAAATAGGAAACATTTAACACAACAAAACAAATGATGAGATAAATTACCTGATTTCTGTACACATTTCTTTAAAACGATGCCTGAAGAAACCTAAGATGTTTAAATACAAAAGAATTTACACTGATACTCTGTTTCCCAAACATAAAATGTATTATTACAGAATGATAACTTGGATAATGAAGTAAATTTTGAACAGAAATATTATTATCTTAATATAAGCTGAAACAGGCAAAGCTTAGGTAAAATCAAGTTACAAACATATTTTCTCTAAGTTCTGCAATGCATAGTAACTACTAAAATTAATGTTTTTCACTTCCATTGCCTTACTCCACGATTACAAGACAATAACTGTTTCTAGTTTATAGTTTAGACTGTCTCGAGTATTAATACTCTGCACTTTGTCTAATACTTTAGACATTATTTAAAATAATTTGGCTTAATTTTGCAGACCAAATTTGATGAAGTTTACATTTTTAATGAGGTTCATTTGAAAATGAGTTCTACGATTTAAATCAATCAATTTTCTAAGCTTAATCTGATGTTTTTATTAAGACTATTAATTATTATTTTGATTAATTTATTAAAGACTTTATTATTTATCATAGTATTAATTAATACTTTAATTATTTTATTAAAGACATTATTATTTATTAGATTATTAATTATTACTTTAATTAATTTATTTTATTTGCATGCTTTTTTAAGTACTACAGTTTGAGAGCATAATTTTAATTTGAAAATTATTAACAGGAAAAGTCGAGCTGTTTAATATTTTACTTTGATTGCATAAATATTCGTAATTGCTGAATAATCTAGAAAATACTAACAGAACTTCAGCGATGTGTAGGAAAAGTAAAAAATAGTATATAAAGCTATTGTTGCTATCAATAAAGATTACCTTTTTTACAGTCTTCTACATAATAATGCACAAATTTCTTTTGTTGAAATTATATCAAATCTAATACTCTGCAGAAATACATTTTAGTTGCATTCATTGCCACAAATTCTGTATTTTAGGAAAAAAACATTAGATATTCCGCTTTATCTTATCATTTATTTATGCATTTTAATTATAGGTCAATGCTATATTTTTTTAAAAATTGAATTCATTATCTAGAAGAAGAAATTTGTATGAATTTTTCTTTAGAAATTATCATAAATGTTTCATTAATTAATTAGCATTCTCTTTTTTAAGCAATGGTTAGACATTCTGTATACTATTAATATAATCTTAATTAATATAATCGACTATGGTAAAACAATGTCATTTTTGCAAGTAATAGTAAAAGATATTGTCAGGGTAACCACCGACTTGCAACCGAGCTATGTTTGATTTAAGCTCAAAAGCATGCACGTTCTGTTGTTCTCTATGATTAGTAGTAAAATTGAATCAATAATGATTTTTTGCCTTTCATTGACTGAAGTTTTGAGAACAAATTTTTGAGCGGGATTTTTTTACTTTTTTTGCCCCCATGCAGCATGTGGAGAGGTTATTCAACCCTCGGATGGGCTGACCAGGTTGGTTCTCAACACTCCTCTTCTAGTCCGATGGAGTACCTGGGAAACCACATGGATACAGTCACATACTACTAAAATAAAGCCGGAAAAATAAATGTCTTCTAGGAATATCTAGAAATTGCGAGAAACTGGTTTCGGAATGAAGATTTATATACGAAACGGCACAAGTTGTTAAAAAATGTTGTGATTAATAAATACTTTTTTAAATGCGTAATAAATGTTAGGTAAATCATTCCTAGACTAATACCATTCGAAAGAATTTATCATTAACGCTCCAATAAAGAAGATTCGTTTTATGAATTATTGAAATGTAAACTTGCTATTTAGTTCACTGTAAGTCCGCAGCAAATACTCGTGTCACTGATAATTTGATAGATTTAAGTTCATCTTACCATAAAACATTACAAATATAATACAAAATTATATTTTACAAGTGGATATTTAATATATATATAATTATAAATTATAAACAAATTACATTTTACAAATGGAATAATGATAAAACATTTATACTTCATAAATGGATTTTTATATACTATATAATTATAAATTATTTTACAAATGTAATAAAAATAAATTATATTTTACAAATAAATTATAATAAATTACATTTTACAAATGAAAATTTTAGCTACTTATTTTTCGTCAGAGTAATAACTTCCCCTTGAAATATTTTGTTATAACTGTTATTTCGACGTTTTATAAATACAGATTTGCTTTTAAAAATATAAAATATAAAAAACTGAATATTTAGCTCTCTTGAATCAGGGATAAAAATCGTTATATTTTTTTAGTATAAAAAATTTATCACTGCTTTTTTGCTTCCGTAAAATTTGTTTTCTGTTCTTATCCACTTGAAAAAGCTATTTACTTGAGTAAATTGTTAATAATTAATAAAGAAAGGGGTTAATAAGCATTTTTTACCTTGTTACCTTATTCATATTCTTTTGCCTCTAGCGTGCAATGTGTATATACTTGTCGCATTAACTTACAACGACAAAAGAAATACGCAAATAATAAAATTGTTTATATTTCTGATGAACAGTAGGCGTAAATCAATGTAAAAATACGAAAATCTCATCATATATTTCAGATTCTGTGTTAAGTGAACTTAAAACTCAATTTACTTTAATTTAAAAGGCCAATATTAATGTCAAATATCTCTTCTGTCACTGATGAATAATGTCAAAGAAAAATTAAATATCAACACATAGACCTCAAAACTGTTATAAAAATAATGCACAACCTTAAACACAATAATAATAATACACATTAACTAATTCGTAATTCAGCCAAATTTTGGCTGATCTTAGAAAGAATACTTAGTCTTAGAATAACACAAAGGTCATTATTAAAGAAAAATACAAATCATATGTAGAATTTAAAACTATATAAAACTATTAATGTGTTATGTTTCCTCTTGATTTCTCTTAAGAGGCCACTGTTTATTTTTTTCCATACTGTAGTGTAATCACAATTTCAGATACGATGTCATGTCCTTTTGTAAATTTACTATCATCATTTCGGTCTACCTAAAAAAATCGTGAGCGGGTTTTTTTTCTCCCCCTCCATCTTGTGCCGTTTTTCATCATCTTAACTTTTATTCAAATCGCATATGAAAATATTTTCTGTGAAATGTATTAAAGTGGTTTCTTTTGTGCTCTGTCAGTTATTTACCTAAATAAACTGTCCCCTTCAGTATTTAAATATTACATCATTCCAAATAAATAGATCAATGATAATGTTTATAAGTTTCTTATGCCCCTTAGGCTATGAAGAAAAAGTTTAATGCTGTAGGGCAAGTGGAATTAATGAAAAATTCTTTTGCATATTGTATTGTTTAGTATTATTGATTTAATATATTATGCAGTCATTTAAGCCTATGAACCCCTCATTTACTAAATTAGCACATTTTATTAGTTTATAATCTAACAGTTACCATTTTGTGATTAGATTGTGTGTATTATAAGCCTATGTAAATGGAAAGTAATTAAACGCCATATGATGCACTGAGAGCGATCCTAAACAAGATTATTGCAAATAATTTAACTGTATTTAGAAATTAAAAAGAGGGGTAAATATATAATTCAAATTCAGCATCTAAAATGCAATTTTGTAGAGTTTCATCTTACATTCAAGAATGCGTTTCTTCAGCTGAGCGAATCATGCCATATTTTTCGATACAGAATACATTCAAATTAAAAAATTAATTTGAACTATTTCGTTCCTGGTTCTTTATTTTCTGTTACTGGATTAAGCTCGTTGCATGGATACTTTCGAGATGTTTCTAATGTCAAACATTAATACCGAGGTGCTTCTCTTTAGGAATTTTTCTACAAGAACATCCCTTCCAAGATTGATAGCTCTGAAACCAGTGTTGTTAATTTCAGTTCATTACAAATTCATTCCCTTTTAATTACGAATTTCATACAATTCAGATATTTATTACTTCGTTCATTCATTAAATAATGAATTTCCATTACAATTTTCGATATTTCAATTATTAAATTCTTAATCGTAGTTCTTTATACGTAGTGCTTCCAGTCAACATCAAACAAGGCCTATTGTCAATTAATTATACAAACTATATTTGAATTTTGTTTTTTTTACGTTACTAACACAATAAAGCACCAGCATAATGCTATATTATAATAGCTCTTCGAAGTAATCAAAATTTATCAATTGGACAACTTAATAAGTATAATTTTTAAGAAGCCTGTACAGGTTTTTATTTCAAATGTATTTAATTTAAATTTTTTTTATTTCAATTTATAACTTCCACCAGTTCCGACGTTTTTTCTTTTTTTTTTACTTTTCTTGGTATTTTGGGTTATTTTTAAGCAAAAAATTTTATTTGTTTGGGTCTAAAATTTTCAAAAGATAAAAGTTATTTCCCTCATTTCTCTAGTATTGAATTTTAATCAATTGTTTTCGTATCAAACAATTCGATACACACCAAATTTTTGTATTTTCTCTTGTCCGTAAATCAATGAGAGCTTCTAATTGCTAATATATGAGTTTTATTTAAAAATCTTAATTTCGATCCATGTAATGTTCTTTCGTTCCATGTAAGTAATTGGTGTCATACATTGACCAATGATTAATATAAATTCACTCACATTTTAAAAAAAAAACATATGAGAGCAAATTAAGTTAATGTATATTCTATAATTATTTACATGAAAAATATAAATTTTTTAATATTTCAAAACAAATATATGAAAAAAAGTTCAACTCCAATAATATTCAATTTCAAGATGATTCCCAAATGATTACTTTATATCATTATTTTGGGTAATTCAATTGCATTGATAATGAGGGATATAATGGATGTTTAAAATTTCTTACTTGGAGTTGTAATAAATCATAATTATATTATAAAATATAAACTCATAATAAAATTTTCTTGAATTTCTTGTAGTGTGATGTAGCCGTTCTCAATAGCATTGCGGCTAGCTTTTAAGGATATATTAACAAAGCACACGGTAGGAAATATAGAAACAGAACATCCACAAAATAAATTACAATGAAAACAAGATACCCATATGGACATAACAATACCATTAGTAGCTATAATCAATGGCTGGACGTTTTTTCTAAAGATGTTTTAATAATTGGACACTTTAAAACTAATAATTTATTGAATTCGTGTGTCGCCGTTGGGACACATGCGGCTTGCTTAAAAGGTTTTTTGACACGGTTACAAACAAAAGTATTCAACTTAATCCAGTCATGGGTTACATCCCCTTGACGTTTTTCGTTACGGCGGGCGTTGGTGGTTTTGACACTAATATCGCTTGAAGTTACGGAGGCTTAAATAAAATATTGCCGGACTTTTGTTGGAAAATAGATGAATGGCTCTCAGTGGTTGTCAATTCCGGCAGCTCAAAAATTAAGAGACGTCTCCGGCAGCAGAAATTCAGAACCTGACTTTTAATTGCACTGGGTATTACCAGTTTCGAGGGGCTCCCTTTCTTTAGGGAACACAGGAGTTACACGAGCTGCGTTTGAAAATTTTCGATCTTGATAACAAATTTCCTGGTTTACAAGACTTGATACTTGAGGAATTAACTATTCATGATGGTTGAAACATAAGTCACTGATACAAGAGACATCAACTTGAAACACAATTTGGACCATTTATTCGGGAACAGAATACAGGAACGGATTTGAGGTGTCACTATCACATAAGGACCCAAACCTTTCGGCATCACCCGTCAAACTTTCTGGTTGCTAATTTCGGGAACAAAGCCAAACTTTCGTCGAACAATGTGCATTCGCTTTCTGTCAGTAACGTTTACATCTTGATGCAAACGTTTCAAACAGTTGTTACCAAAACGTTTCGGGAACAAAACAAAATGCTTATATCATGTCATAATTGTACTCTTTGAAGAAAAGCAGCAATCCAGTTGAATCACATTTGGTGAAGCAAACCTTTTAATGGCAGTTTATCCAAACTGATGGTCGTTACCAACAGTATTGCTAAACGTGGTTTCAGATCTATTCTTCATTTCAACTGGGTTGGATTGTGGGTGATAGACAGGAGTAAGACTTTGATCAATGTTCAAGATATAGCATAGTTGTTGCATAACAGCACTAGTAAACTGGGTACCATTATCACTTATTATTTTCCTGGGTAACCCAAATCGAAGGGCGACTTCCTCCAAAAGAATAGTGGCACATTCTCTGGCCGTGGCTTCCTTTAAAGCAAATAGTTCTGTCCACTTCGTAGCACAGTCCTGCACAATAAAAATCCATTTTTCACCAGACGGTGTTTCAGGGGACCGAAAAGGGGAAAAGGATTAACAAAAACGTTGAGCATAGACTGGAGTTTGAAGTAAACCAGATGGCTTTTGATTAGTGGCTTTATAACGACAGCATTCGAGACAGCTTTTGACATATTCTGCTATATCCTTTCTCATTCCAACCCAGTAGTATCTTTTTGCTATTCGATAAAATGTTCCTTCAGATCCATAGTGACCGGCCGTTGGCGAATCATG